TTCTTTCAGGGTCCTTTTAATCCTTTTGAGTAGAAATGTGTAGCAGGATAGTTTGTGTTTAAAAAAGAGAGAAAACTACATTGAACTACTGTGTTCATTGAATCTGTGGTGCAGTAGGTTGTTAAGGATATGTTATTCATGCACTGTTAATAATAAAAGACTTAGGGTCATTTGTGTAAATGTCATACCAACTTGTGAAACAGTTTAATTTTAGTGGTGTTGGAATGAGTATCTTTAAAATTCGTGAAGTACAGTAATCTTGGATTATTATTAAAGATTATATAGTATATATTACCTATGATATATATTAGTAATATATAATTATTAAAAGGATTAATGCCATCATTTTGAGTGTTAGTTATTATAAGAGTAATGTCTTCAGAATGCCTTGTCCCCTAACAGAAAATGGGCTGAGACTATTGTTTATGTGAGGATTTCTGATTTGCCTTAGGGATGGAGGTAGGGGGATAGATCTGCTTCTAAAATTTTCTGGACTTAGTAACCAAAAAGGCATATTTGTTAGAAGTTGTCCTTTCCCATGAGCGTTTAACTTGGAATAACGGAAAACTAAGCATTTTTAGAAAAAGAAATGTAAAGTAATGTGGAAGGCTGGGATGAGGTATTTAGATTTGGTTGTTTACCTTTTTCAAAGCTAATTGACCACTGTCATAGAGGCTCTTAGGCTACTCTCTCCGCCCCCCCCCTCCCCCCCCCGCCTTCAGTTTCCTAGCACTGTGGTAGATGATTCTTGTGTCTTTGGGTGGCAGTACTAGTCTGTAGGCCTGGAGAGACTGTGCCTGTATGGTATGTCTGTAACATCTTGACCCCCTAGCAGGCACCAAAGGGCTTTCGGTAAATATTTGTTGGATGACATTTTTGGAACTAGGTCTTGGAGGGAGAGGGTTGCTGAATTGGTCTTGCATTTTCTAGGGTCCCAAAAAGGTGGGGATGCTGTGGCGAGAAGCTGGACTCAGCTGGAAAGAATTTCTACCTGAAGGCCATGATGTCAGTGCATTTGTCGCTGAACAGGTTTGCAGCTGGAGTTAGGTTAATTCTAGCATTTGGGACTGGCCATTCTTCTCCCTCTTCCTTTGGCACACTCATGTTGTATTTTTCCCTCCTGATTGGGTCTTCTCATTTGTAGAAGGTGGAGTATACCTTGGGCGAAGAGTCAGAAACCCCTGGCCAGAGGATGCTGTCCTCTGAGGAGCTGAGCAGACAGCTGGAGAAGCTGCTGAAGGAAGGCAGCAGTAACCAGCGGGTGTTTGACTGGATAGAGGTAGGTTTTTCCTGGGTGTTAGGAGAGAGGCATATAGGAGAGGCAGTTTTTGGTGTGCAGGTAGGGACATAATTTAGAACATATAGGTCATTTGTTTCTCTTCTGCACAGGCCAACCTGAGTGAGCAGCAGGTAGCATCCAACACACTAGTTCGAGCCCTCATGACAGCTGTCTGCTATTCTGCAATTATCTGTAAGAGGAGCCAGGGAGATGGAGGGGCAAGGGTGGGCCTAGCAGATGAATGGAGAGGGGGGAGGTTTTGGTCTTTGCCTCCTAGTTGTGGACTGGACAAGGCTGAGGGTGCATTATTTTGCTTAACCCCATCTTTCTTCCTGTAGTTGAGACGCCCCTCCGAGTGGATGTCGCGGTGCTGAAAGCGCGAGCGAAACTGCTACAGAAATACCTGTGTGATGAGCAGAAGGAGTTGCAGGCGCTCTACGCCCTCCAGGCCCTTGTAGTGACCTTAGAACAGCCCGCCAGTAAGAGCCGGGCTGCAGGGGTGGGGTGGAGGAGCTGCCAGAGAGCAGGGGCCAGTCACTGAAAGGGTCTCAACCCAAGAAAGGGGGGCTGGTTCATAGGAGAGCAAAATGTCCTGGTGATTGATTCCTTTCCCCTGCACTGTTTGTTTCTTTGCCTATAATGGAAGAAGTTAGACTCATTATGAAGGTTACTTGACTACTCTTTGTGCCAGGTAGGAGCACAGAGGTGAAACGTGGTAACAATTTGTAAATACTGCGTGCTCTAGTGGCCTGGCATGGGGCTGAGATGCTTTTCTTTTCTTGCCTCGTTTAATCCTCACAACTACTGTGTAAGGCAGATGCTGTTACTCTCTTTTTCTTATTGGGAGACTGAGGCTTAGGTTAACGTGCCTGAGATTCATGCATTCAGCAAACAGGTACGTGCCAGGGCACTGGGACATTGGCAGTGATAAAGTCCAGCACAGTTCTGTGTTGGCATAGAGTAACGTGGTGGTGAGGGTCGGAAGATGGGTCCTGGGGGGTGCTCTCTGGGATCACCTAGTCTAAAGGATAATAAGTGGGAAGTGACAAATGGTAGCTAAATGACAAATTGGAGGGGGAGACTTGAAGGAACTGTGTGTGTAAAGGAAGGCCCTGAGGCAGAAGGTACTTGACACAAACTAAGAGAACTGTTCGAGAAAGGCTACTGTGGGCTAGCACAGCAGCCAGTCGTATGTGAGGTAAGATGGGGCTGGAGAGAATGGACGTGGGCTAGGTCATGCAGGGCTGTCTAAGCCATGGGACAAGTTTTGGCCTTCAGCCTAAGGGCAGGAAAAGGCTTTGTGGGATTTTAGTTTTTAGCTCATCCTGGCCATTAGTAGGAAGAGTGGTTTGGAATGGATTAAGTGTGAACGTGGCAAGAGCAGCAAATAAGGAGTGGGTTGTGTTGGTGGTGGCAGTGAAGCTGGGAGGGGCGTAACTGTAGTTAAGACAGAACACTGGCCTGGTGGGGAGAGGTGAAGAGAAGAGGGTAAGTTAATACGTGACTTCTAGGATGCTTTGCGCGGGTGAGGTGATAGTGTGGTACCATTTGCTGGCGGGTTGGGACCTCTGGATCAAGTGGAGTTTGGTCATAGTTGAGTTTGTGGGCCCTGGGTGGGGGTGATCAGAGGTGTCAGACAGCTGGGTATGGGAATTCATTTGCAGATCTGTGAGAAGCTGGTACAGGGCAACACATGTGCAGGTCCTCAGTGGATATGGGATTGCCTGAGGGAGAGCGATGAGAGTATGGGATAGAGCCTTGAAGTGGAGGACAGGGCCCTATGAACAAAGGGCAAAATAATTTTAGGAGAGGGAAGTGGTCAGTAATGCTAGATAATGCGTGAGAGTCCCATATGAGCAGAGCTGAATGTTTAGGGCCTTTGGAGCATAAGAACACAGGCCACTCTGGCATAAACAGTATTTGGTAGAGCAGGGGCCACTCTGGTTTGGAAAGGGCTGAGGAATACTTGACTGAGATAGGAAAAAGGAAAAACAGCAAGTGTAGACAAATGTTTGAATTTAATCTCTTGTCCAAAGACAAAAATCTTTTGAGTGTAAGAGATAGTGGCAGTAAAGGAGGCCTTTTGTGTTTAGGTGGGAGAAACTTGGGTTTGAATATACAGGGCAGAGTGAATAATTGATTTTGTAGGGTCCCCAGGGTGGGCATGCACCGGATTTGGGATGAATGCTCTGCTTCTGTAGGATGGGGCTGGGAAGCTTCCACGGGTGGTGGTTGTGGATTTGAGGGGGTGTGTTCCCTGAAAAACCACCTGGCTTGCAGCTTCTCATAGATGACTGTCTGGGTTTAACCCAGGCCTGGACTCTAGATTCTGCTTTATTTCTTTATTCAGAAGAAATGTATTCACTACTTGGCCCCCATTTGCCTTTGGAAAGATTGGCAGTGCAGTGTGGGGAATGGGATAGGTTGTATTCAGGCCTTACAGGACAAGTGCTTGATAGGGCTTAACTAGAAGCCAGGTTGGGGGAAAAGAGGGTCCGAGGAAGGGGTGCTACAGTTGAACCTACAGGGATTCATTAGGAAGGTGACCACAAAGGATGTGGCACACATAAAGGTATCAAGGCTGTTCAAATGTGTGCAAAATAAGAGGAAATTGGGGTCCAGAGCTTGTCAGGATCTGTAATGGGGTCCAGTGAATGTTACAGGTTATAAACCCTTGACTTTGGAGAGTGATATATCTGGGGCTTCTGTGGTTCCCAGATTCAGGAGTACCAATTCTGTGTATAGTTTTCTTCATTAAATATATCATGAGTGGAGAAGTTGCTGAGGTAAGGGAGCTTTGTGAAGTTTTGCCGCTGTGATTCATTCCTGTGTGTGCAGCAGTCTTCGATCGTAAAGTAAGATTAACACCTTGTTAGAGACCTACCTAGTCATGTGCAAACAATGGTCAGACACACAGATGTCAGGATGGTGGGTCAGGGCCTTGTTTTTTAACAGTGGAGCTTGGGAGTGGGTTGGGTGGCTGTGGGCAGCACTCCTTAACTGCTGTCCTGCCTGCTTGCAGACCTGCTTCGGATGTTCTTTGATGCGCTGTATGACGAGGACGTGGTGAAAGAGGATGCCTTCTACAGCTGGGAGAGTAGCAAGGACCCCGCTGAGCAACAGGGCAAGGGCGTAGCCCTTAAGTCTGTCACAGCCTTCTTCAAGTGGCTTCGTGAGGCGGAGGAGGAGGAGTCTGACCACAACTGAGGGCGGGTGGGGCCGGGGACTTGGAGCCCCATGGACACTCGGATGGCCCGGCCAGCCGCCCGGACTGCGGGGGGGAGGGGGGGCGGCAGCAGCGGCGGTGGCAGTGGGTGCCTGTAGTGCGATGTGTCTGAGCTAATAAAATGGCTGAAGAGGCAGGATGGCGTGGGGCTGCCTGGGGCCCCCCTCCAGGATGCTGCCAGGTGTCCCTCTCCTCCCCCTGGGGCACAGAGATATATTATATATAAAGTCTTGAAATTTGGTGTGTCTTGGGGGGAGGCACCACTGCCTGCCCCTGGGGTCCTTTTTTATTTTCTGAAAATCACTCATGGGACTGCCGTCCTCGCTGCTGGGGGCATATGCCCCAGCCCCTGCACCACCCCTGCTGCTGCCTGGGCAGGGGGAAGGGGGGGCACGGTGCCTGTAATTATTAAATATGAATTCAATTAAGCTCACTGCCTCCCTGCTTTATGGCCTGCTCCCTCTGGAGGAGGGGTATGGATAGGTGGGCAGCCTCCTTTCCAGAGCTGGCATTATAACTGTGTTCCCTGTGCCTGGCACCCCTCTTGCCTCTTCCCCTGTCTAAGATTATGGGAGTTGGAGGGTTGTTTGCTGGAGTGTTGGACCCTTGAAGCAGACATAGTGGGATGCCCTGTTGCTTGGTAGGGGAGAAGAGAAATACCTGTGGGGTACCTTCAGAACACACTGGACTTCCTCTCCTGGAAGAATATGATCCAGACCCCTGTATGTGGAGGAGGCCCAGGGTTTCAAGCTATTTATTGCTGGAGAATTACTTTATGGCTTCAAGGTCTGATCTGTAAAAAGATGGGGCTGGATGCCTGCCAGCCCGGCGGGCCTGGGGCGTTCCCGCCCACCCTTGCCTTCGGGTCGTTCCGCAGTCTGGATTGGGAGGAGAGGACGAGGGGTTTCCGGACTCGGCCCCAGGCAGCCCCTGCGTGGCTGTGACGTGTTTCGCCCCGCCTGTCTTGGGTGGTGACGCGAGTGGCCACGCCCCTGCGCTGACGTCACCGGCCCGGTTCCCTCTCCGGGGAGCGGCGGCGGACGCGCGGCTCCCACCCCCCTCCCCTCTCACGGGCTCTCCCCTCCCCGGTGGCGGCCGCGGCCCGACCCTCTGCAAGACGATGGCCCGAGCCCCGAGCGCGGGCTAGCGTGCCTGGGTGCCCGGCCATGGGCTGTATCGGCTCTCGGAGTCCAGCGGGTCAGGGTAAGAGGCGGAGGCCGGGCACGGGTTGGGGAATCGGCTGCGGCTGCCCGGTACGCGGGCCGCGGATGGGTGGGGGCCTTGAGGAGGGGGCCGGTGTCGGGAGAGGGAGGAGCTTGTACCGGGGAGGCGGGTCTGGTAAGAGGAGGGAGCGGGAAGGAGCGGGGAGGGGGCTAAAGCGACTCGGCTTCGCGACCAAGGCCTGCCTGCTTTTGGGTTTTGAAGGGTAGACTCGTGGTCTTTCCGCCTAGATTCCCTCTGCTGAAGGTGGCAGGAGGTGCACAGCCTTGGGAGGGGCAAGTTGTCCATAGCAACTGGCCATCCACGCCTACACACTTGCCGCCCGCCCCCACCCCCCCTCCAGCCCACACCTCTTCTTTCATTGCCCTGGGAGTGGCCCTATGCTGGGAACCTGCCTCTTCTAGCTGCGTCCCAATCCCCTTAAGGAGGTAGCCGGCAAAGCCTGTCAAGCACCCCAGCACGGAGTTTTTGGCGAAAACTTACAACCTCCCCGCCCTTTCAGGTAGTTTATGAAGGAGGCCGAGGGCCCATTTGGGGCACCTGTGAGCACCCAATCGCCTCTCACCTCTTAACTACTATTTTGGTTCCGTTTCCCCACTGGCAACAAAAACATTATCCTACCTTGTGGAGAGAAACATGAGCCAAGAGAGAGGCCATCAGGGCTAACTACAACTGCTGATCCCTGCTGCTTGGGCCTTGGTTCCCATGGACGATGGGTGGTGCATGCTGGGGCCTGGCCATACTCCTATGCATCTGAGGTCCAGTAGCCTACTTAAGTGTCATGGGTTTCTCCAAGCCTAAAGCCAGGCAGGTTTTGTTTTGTTTTGTTTTTTGTTTTTTTTTTCTTTAATGACGTTGAAAGCAGGGTTTTGGAACGGGTCCTGGGCTTTCAAGGCAGATGGTCAGTCATACAGGCCTTAGCGTGGTTGGTACTTGAGATGTTTTGGAGCAAAGACTAGCCGAGATTTGTACTTTCCTTGGTTCCCATGAGGGATTCTGGGATTTGTAGTCCTAAATTAACCTCATGGCATTTGAAGCTGAGAAGCAGCAGGCTGCTCTGATCCCTCTGGCCCTGCTAAGGCTTGGGGTTCAGGAAGTCATTCCTCCTGTAGTCGGGGGAGAGTTTTGCTGACCTTAGGAGTGGCTTTGAGAGCCCTGATTAGGTACCAGCTGGGGGCCAGGGATGGCCTGTAACCTTGTGTCTTCCTTCTGGTTGGTAGCATTTCTGGGGACCACCAGCTGGCTGAGGCTCAGGGACAGAGACGGCTGCTCCAGCTAAAGGTCAGTTGTGATGTACATTGCCTATTGGCACTGTCTAGGGGATGGGCCTCAGCTCCCTGAGCTTCAGAGAGCTCTGCTGGGCCCCTGGCACTCCCACCTCCTCAAAGCCATGAGGCAGGAGTGTTCTCCTTCTGTGACTAGGCACAGGTTCCAAGTGGGGAGGGGACTGGCTCAGCATCCGGAGCCAAAATAAGAATAGAACTGGGAGCTGAGCCTGGAGCAGTTCTGGGCTTTTGGTTCTCTGCATCAACACAGCCAGCATGCCTATGATTTCGGTGCTGGGCAAAATGTTTCTGTGGCAGCGTGAAGGGCCTGGAGGACGATGGACTTGTCAGACAAGTCGCAGAGGTGAGACAGGGACTGTAGATGTGATTTGGGAGGTAAGGGGAAGCTGAGGAATTGGGTGCTCAGGTGGCAAAAGGAAAATTACTCCGGCTTAGATATTAGGAACTGGGATGATACAAGAACAGCCAGCCTGGGGCCAGACGGGGCATCAGGCAGAAAGCCTTAGGGGACTGGGGCGAAAGTAAGAAAAAATCATGGGTTTGTCGGAAGAGAAGAGTAAAGAGCTGCATACCAGCTGATGCTGGCGAGAGGAAAGAACCAAGAGAAGGAAAGCAGCAAGCCTGTAAAGGGTCCAAGGTAGTGGTGGGAGGACAATGGCGATGGTGGTGGTGGAAGATCGCGGTGTGCTTTCCAAGAGGAAAGGGTAAGGCCAAGAAACCCAAAATTCAGAATTGATGAAAGTTTAGGTTTCATCCCTAGGGTTCTGATGGTAAAATCTATCCAGAGGAGGAAGGGGGCCAGTGGGCTGCCACAAAGTGGCCCCCAGGGTCCTGAAGTTCAGCAATGTGGGATAGGGGCTTTCAGAATTGTGGAGAGCACCAGGTGGTTGCTGATATTGGGGGGCGGGGGGAAGGAGAGTGGTAAGGAAAAATGATAGGGCATCACGATAGAAATGGGGATTTTGGCAGAAGTGGGAGCCCATGTGAACAGCCTTTCCCCCACCCCTCAGTGGCCTCGGACCCTGCTTGGGCTGTGGAGTGGATCGAACTTCCTCGGGGCCTCTCTCTATCTTCCTTGGGATCTGCTCGGACCCTCCGAGGCTGGAGCCGGTCCTCCCGCCCTTCCTCCGTGGACAGCCAGGACTTGCCAGAGGTGCTGGGTCCCTGGTGCTGGTAGGGGGAGGGGGGGGGCCGCTTTCACATGAAGGAGATCTGTATCCCGCACCCCCGCCTCGGCAGCCTGCTTCTGGCACCCTTTTCCTGCGAGCGGAGGCGCTATCCGGCCGGCGGGGCCCAAAGCCGCCCCCGCGCCGGTCTGCTCTGCTAGGCCTGGTGCCAGCGGGCGGGCTCTGCTCGAGCCTTGGGCGCTGACGTCAGCGCATCCCAGGCCGTATCCCGGGAGATCCTGTTGCATGGTGATGGGTTGCCAGGGAGACACACACCTTTTCTCTGGGTCTGGGCCGCAGCTGCGCGGAGCGCCCAGCACGGATGGGGGTGGCTGGGGGCAGTGAGGGGAGGGAGGGAGAGCAAGCCAGGAAACACCCAGCAGGTGCTCCTCCCCCCAGGCCTGGCTGGAAGCTAACGGCGCCACCCTGGGGCCCCTGTAAGCCAGGTACTCGGGGTGGTGTGGGCAGAGGGTGGATCTGAGGTCAAGGGAGCAGGTGGAGTCCCTCTTGTGAGGGGTGGGAACCTGATCTGGAGAGCTAGGCAAAGCCAGGGAGGGGGCATGTGCCTCCCACTTCATTCATTCATTGAGGGAAACATTTGCAGGGGCTTGCCAAGGAGAGCTGAGCCAGGCGTAGGGTGGAGGTGGGAACCTAGGTGAATCAGAGTCAGGCCCTGCCATCCTGAGATACCTCAGGAGAGATGGAAGGGCATGCCTGAGGGTGGGGGTGGGGATGGTGGTGTCTAAAAAGAGACAGAGAAAACTGGACTTAAAATAGGAGGTGATACTTGAGTCAGGCCTTAAATGGTAGGGAGCATTTTGTTAGGCAAGGATGGCGTTCTTAGCCCAGGTGAAAGCCAGGTTCCTTTGCCTGGAGGCAGGAGGGATGCTTGCTGACAGGAAAGGTGAACATGGGTTTTATTGGACAAAGGAGATCTGTCGTGGATTCCAAGGCCTGAAAGGAGGCAGGGGGCTCACAGAGTGGGCTCCTTCAGTGCCTCGCTGTGAAGCTAGGACTTCATTGGACAGCCGAGGAGCCCAGAAGAGATTTTAAATAGGGACATGTGACCAGTTGCACTCTCGGAAAATTGTTTACATTTATACTTTGCCTCATTCACTCAGCCTGTGTGTTTAGAAAGGTTACTCTGTACCAGGCACTGTGATAGACTCTGGGGTGCAGCAGTGACCAAAGAGACCAAATTCCTCCAAGAGCTAAAGACCAGTGAGGGTGACCGATGACAAATAAGGAAACATGCGAAGTGGGCCATGATTACACACACAGGGTACGTTCATAGAGGATGGTGACTTGTTACAGAGGGAGGATGGACAATTGGTTGGGTGGCCAGAAAGACCCTTCTGATGGAATGATGTTTCAGCCAAGACAAAAGATGAGAAAGAGCGAGCCACCCATGGGGAGGAGGGAGAGGAACACTTATACAACATTCTAGGCTGAGAAAATAGCATGGAGTTGGAGGAGCTTATGGATCCACAACTATGCTAATCTGGACATGGAGTATTGAGGGCTTGAGAAAGGGAAGGCAGTGGCAGTGGGAGCAGAAAGGATGAACAAAGCATAGGGGAGAGTTGATGGTCATGCCAAGGTTTGGAGCCAGACTGAATGGGCAAATGGATGATGCAGAGTAAGAAGCTGGGGAGCAGGACCAGATATGGGAAAAGGTGTTGGGTTGGGTTTGGATCATGCTGAGTCTGTGGCCTTGGTAGGCTGTAGAAACAGCTGGAAGACTGAGAGGAGAGGGTCAAAGAGGAGAGGACCTGGAGGAAGTCCTTGATGCTGTAGCTTTCTCCCTTCCTCTTTTTCCTTCTCAAAGGTTCTTGACTTCCCAGACTGCCCCTTTCCCCTTTGGGAGCTGAGAAGGTGGGGGGAGGGGTGATAGCTACAGTTCTGCTCCTTTGGGTCTGCCTGGATCTCTGTTGCTCCTTGGGAGGACATAGCTTGCTGGTCCTGGCTTCTTAGCCTCCCTCTTACATACCTCAGCAGCCACGGAGACATATGTGCTGCCCTGGCATCTCTTCCCAACTCCCGTATTCCCTTGACACCTTGGGTGGGTGATGGGCATGTAGGGGATGCTGCTGTCAGAGGGGCACTGACCCTCTGGTGCTGTCACCCAAGGTGAATGTTGGAGACACAGTCGCGATGCTGCCCAAGTCCCGGAGAGCCCTAACTATCCAGGAGATTGCTGCGCTGGCCAGATCCTCCCTGCATGGTATGCACCCCCTTCCCACACGTCTGGCCACTCTGTCCTTCCTTCTTCCTTTTGCACATACACTTTGGGACCATATCCTGTGAACTCTTGCTGGGATCTCCCTCTTCCTCCCCTTCTCAGATGGATCCCAGCTTCCTCTTCCCATGCCATGTGGACCCAAACTACCACCACCCTCCACACCCCTCTCAGATGCTCTCTGGCCTGTGCCCTCACCAGGCCTCCTTCTGCCCCACCTGCAGGTATTTCCCAGGTGGTAAAGGACCACGTGACCAAGCCCACCGCCATGGCCCAGGGCCGAGTGGCTCACCTCATTGAGTGGAAAGGCTGGAGCAAGCCGAGCGACTCACCTGCTGCCCTGGAATCAGCCTTTTCCTCCTATTCGGACCTCAGCGAGGGTGAACAAGAGGCTCGCTTTGCAGCAGGTGGGGACAGGAAGGGGTCAGCCACGCATTTGTCATAGGGATGCTCCCATCACCTCAGTCCTAATGTGGAGGTTGGAGTCTTTCCACACCCCTCTCTCTTTCCTCTCCTGTCTCTAAGCTGAGCCCTAGTCTTAGTTCTTCTAATGAATTCTGCTAACGGACCTTCTCTGCTAATGAATTTCATGTCCTCCCTGACAGGAGTGGCTGAGCAGTTTGCCATTGCAGAAGCCAAGCTCCGGGCATGGTCTTCGGTGGATGGTGAGGATTCTACTGATGAATCCTATGATGAAGACTATGCTGGAGGAACTGACTCAGGTGAGGGGCAGTCCATGCTAGTGCCCCTAGCTGGGGTGGGACTGCATGAGAGGCCTTGTGGTTCAGAGGCCTTTGGAAGGGGCTGCGGTGTGGACCCTATCCAGGCAGTCCTTGACATTTCCAGGGGCAAGAGGGCTGTCCCCGCTCATGGGTGGGCAGTCAGCACCTGGAAATGGAGTAGTTCCTTTCCTACAGGTGCGGAGACTTCTCTGCCAGTGTAGCTGGGCCTTGTCCAGAGACGTCGCCCACACCTTGTGTGCAGCTGTGTCTCTGGGAGGGTCTGCTGTGTCTCACCTTTCCCGCCCAGGGCAGCCTCTGGCCAGCTGTGGCAGCACAGATTAACCACAGCAGCACAGCACCTCACAGGGCCGTGGCCCCAGGCAAACAGGAAGGCATGCTGGGCCTGGACTGCCCACAGGGCTGTGCTGGCTCATGCTCCGCATCCTCAAATTCCATCTGAGACCTGCCTGTGGGCCTTTCTCTGGGCCAGTGCTCGCAGAGGGAGGGGGCCCTGCGGGGCTGTGCAGCTGTGCACAGCCCTCCTTTCATCTTCCGATCCCCGGCCCACATGGCTGACTTTCTCTGTAGCTTCTGGGCTCCTGCCTCACAACACTCCTCCCACCCCTACTCCTTTGCCTTTGAAGAATGCCTCTGCCAGTCCCCACCCCTCCAGCTAATTAACAGATTCTTCGAGGGCAATACATTAGAGCAGACTGGCAATACATTAGACTTCTGCTGTGGTCCAGAGGTGACTGATTTGGATGCCTGAGGCCAAGATGGAGCCCGAAACCATAAATGCTCTTGTTTGATTGAGTTCCAGGCCTGCTTTGATCCCTGGTGTAATGATAATAACTAACATTTATTCAGGGCCACTACTACCCCACGTAGAACCTTTGTACAAATTCGAAAAAGCACCTCTCTCTCTGCTGGGCACAGTCCCATGCTAAGGCATGCTGCTTGGTGAGCAGAGGGTGGGCTGAACATCAGTCCACACTCGCTGCCTTGGACAGGCTCCCCTTGTGCAGTGAACCACTGGCACAACCGTGGTATCCCTCCATTTATTACGGTCTTACTTTGTGCTACTTTCTTTTGTTCTCTTAGCACCCCCATACGTAGGTATTTTAGTTTCCCCAATTTGCCATTAAGGAAATGGAGGCACTGAATGGTTAAGTGACTTGCCCAGAGTTACCCAGCTCCTACCCACTCTTCCCAGAGCTAGGTGTGCCAAAGGTGGAGAGAGATGAATGTGGCTTCCAGGTTGGCCAATTGAAATGGGGCTAGTAGGGCTTAATTCTTTTTTCTCTCCTGCAGATATGGCTGGGCAGCTGCCCCTGGGGCCCCACCTCCAGGACCTCTTCAGTGGCCACCGATTCTCCAGGCCTATGCGCCAGGGCTCTGTGGAGCCTGAGAGCGACTGCTCACAGACCGTGTCCCCAGAGACCCTGTGCTCTAGTCTGTGCAGCCTGGAGGATGGGTTGCTGGGCTCCCCGGCCCGCCTGGCCTCCCAGCTGCTGGGCGATGAGCTGCTCCTCGCCAAACTGCCCCCCAGCCGGGAAAGTGCCTTCCGTAGCCTGGGCCCCTTGGAGGCCCAGGACTCGCTCTACAACTCGCCCCTCATGGAGTCCTGCCTTTCCCCCGCCGAGGAGGAGCCAGCCCCCTGCAAGGACTGCCAGCCTCTCTGCCCGCCCCCAGTGGGCAGCTGGGAACGGCAGCGGCAAGCCTCTGATGTAGCTTCTTCTGGGGTGGTGTCCTTAGATGAGGATGAGGCAGAGCCGGAAGAACAGTGACCCAAATCATGCCTGGTGGTGGCATGCGACCCCTGGCTGCTGCTCGGGGCAGAGCCTCTGTGCCCAAGTGCGGGCTGGAGGCTTCCAGCAGAGCTCCAAAGCCTGGAGGGCTCCTGGGAGCACTCACTCCTCCGTTGTGTGTTTTGCATGAAAGTGTTCGGAGAGGAGGCAGGGGCCAGGCTGGGGGCGCATGTCCTGCCCCCACTCCTGGGGTTTGCCGGGGGTTGCCCGGGGCCTCTGGGGCATGGCTACAGCTGTGGCAGACAGTGATGTTCATGTTCTTAAATCAAAAATGCCACATACACATTTCCTCCTTGGATGATGTGAACCCCTAAGGGGGTGGTTGTGACTGGGCCCTGTGGGGTGGAACTGGAGGGAGCCCTGCCCCCTCTCCCCCTTCCCCACGCCTCTCTCTTCTCTGCTTCTCTCCACCTCTGAGTCCATGTGCAGTGCTTGATAGAATCACCCACCACCCCAGGGCGGGCTGGCTCTTACCCTCCTGGAGCCTAGGATTGAGCCGTTCCCCCTAAGGGCCCCTCGCCCAGCTGGGCTCATGCTGTGCTTTGCCTCTCCATCATCTCTAAATCTTCTTCTATTTCCTAAAGAATGAGGGGTTTTGGTCTGTTCTTTCAGTCGGATATTCTCTGGGAGGCACTGGATTGATGACGGCATGTGCCCTATACCCTTTGCCTGGCACCTTGTAGGATGTGTGGGCAGGATCCCAGCGGCTCACGGCCTGCCTAGCTGCCCCCGTTCACCGGGTTCTTGTCAGAGTGGCCTTGGGAGAAGGGATAGCTCTGCTTGCTATGGAGCTGTGACTTCAGTGTTCTTCCTGAGAAGGCCACAAGGGGGCCACATGGGTGGCTGGGCAGTTGTCTGTGGGCGCCTGACTGAGCCTGGCAGGAATTGTGCCAACCAGTGACAGTCATGTGGGCGTGTCTCTCCTTGGGGAGGGAGGAGGGTAGTGCCTTTCTTGGCTGAATGAAAGGCCAAAGCTACAGCACTGAGGGCCTTTGCCCCAGCTCGGGTGTTGAGAACCAAGCAGTGGTGGCCTCTGTGGATCCTGTATTCCACAGACAGTGAGCTCTGGAGTCTTACAGCTGTGGGGGGTTTGGGTGGCTGCAGAATCCCGAGCCTTGCAGGCTCTGGCTGGTAAGAGGGCCCAAGGTAAGAACAAGAGCTGATGGGCACAGGCATTCTATATTTAAGTGGCTCATTAGGTGTTTATTTTGTTCTACTTAAGAATTTGTTTTATTAAATTAATATAAAAATCTTTGTAAATCTCTATATACATCTGGTCATTGGAGGTTCCAGTATAAACCCATCTTAGTTCCACCCCTTTCCCCCTCAAAGGGGGAGCAGGGGTCAGGTGACTCCACCCCATCCTGCCAGGGGATGCCGATCTTCCTGCCCATGGAACATTTGCTGCAGGTGGGCACTGGGTCAGATTCCAGGTAGGATGAACCAGGAGCTTGGCACCCCAAGATTAGAAGGGAGGCTAGGGCTCCAGCCTTTAGTGCAGGTGCCTCCTTTTCCAAGGCAGAAGGAACAGGAGAGCTTCACAGTCTGGACCAATAGCCATAGCCACTGCCATCTCAGTCCCGCCCACTGAGGGGGTTCATTGGCACTTGTCATCACTGTCAGAGGGGCTCCCCTCCCCAGGGAGGCCATGATGGGAGCGGGGCCCCCAGAGTGCATGAACCTCTGTGGTCTCTGTGTCACTGCTGCTGGTGGCACTGTCACGGAAGCTGGCTAGGGGCGGCCGGACTTTGACGCCCTGTGCTGTGACAGAGCCCTCGATAGCCTTCCGGAGCTGGAAAGGGTAGAGGGTCAGATGTGTGGACTCTGAGCTCCCTGCTCAGACTCCACCCCAACACTTACCCTGGGTGAACTGGGCACAAACAAGCCTGCATGCCTGTTTGAAAGCAGAAGTGGTTTGATGGCCATTATCATCTCACCTCCTTTAGGGTGACGATCCCAATGAGTCTGCCAATACTGGTGACATAAGCATGGTCCACTCCCAGTAGTGAGAAGATGGTGTGAGTCTGCAGGGTGGGGAGAAGATACACTGGATGTCCTGTGCAAGGGGACAATTCTAAATTACGGGTCAGAGGGCCCAAGGACAAGGTGGGGACAGGGAATAGAAGGAGTGCCATCCATAGATCGGGGAAGGGAGGGTCAGCAGAGGGAAAAGAATAACAACATTCCTGCAGCCAGGCCTCTGAAACTTGATAGTGGGAATCTTTAGGTTGCTTATTTGATGGAGAAACAGAGAATTCTTTGGCCCATGTTAGAAAGAAGATGATGGAGAACAGCTGTTCAAATGTGACATGTGATGATTGGCCATGCACTGGGTGAGGTCTTTTTGAAATTAGTAACTTCAGTTTTGTTCTGAGATACCCATTCTACAGGAGAGGCAGTATGAGGCTCCATGGTGAAGTGACTTTGCCTTTCATCACACTGTCCGAGGAGGCATTGCCCTAGTCCTGTGCAGATGTTCCATCAGCCACGGAGGTATCTGGGAGGGAGGTTCCGTACCGTCTAGGGTACTGGCTCCGGATTTTGTGCCTCTTGCCCCATTTTAGTAGCTGACATATGCTTCCCATTTGCCTCCAGTGGGCTGGCAGTTAAAATGTCCTTTCACCCTGGCTCTGACTCTTCAATCATGGCCTGAAGCACTCTACATCTCGCATACCGTTTGCCTTTTCTGGGGCCCAACTGGCATCCCAGGTGCTGTTGAGATGTAGCTTGAAGTCCAGGAAAACAACAGTCAACCACAAATTCCCATGTCTTTCTTGCTTTGGGCTCTCCCCCGAGCTTTCAAATGTAATCACCAAGGGCTCAGAAATTGTCAACCAGCTACCCTTGGGTTCTAAGTAGATTTTCTTGGGCCAGATGTCTTGAAAAAAACTCTACCGACACAGCACTTCCTGGAATTTTTGGCCTATCACTTATCGCAGTGTCTTGAGTTTATTTGTAAGCCTCTTGGCTTAATGTTTGAATCAAAATGGGCATTAATGACCCAGCTTTTTGAGTACCACTCAGGACTCATTATAACTGTCTGAAAGCTTTAAAAATATTTTCTTGGGGCGCCTGGATGGTCCAGTCGGTTAAATGTCCGACTTCGGCTCAGGTCATGATCTCGCAGTTCGTGAGTTCGAGCCCCACGTCGGGCTCTGTGCTGATGGCTAGCTCAGAGCCTGGAGCCAGCTTAAGATTCTGTATCTCTCTCTCTCTGACCCTCCCTGCTCACTGTCTCTCTCTCTCTCTCTCTCAGAAATAAATAAAATGTTAAAAATAATTAAAAAAATTTTCTTATACAGTTGCTAAATTATTAAAAGGCTTCCAGAACTGTCCTAACTCTCCATCTAAAGCATGACAGTACTTATACAGCAGTTAGACGTTCATTTTTAGAACAAGCTTTTCTGTGGTCCTTTAATACCTTTGTCATAACTTGTTAGGGTTAGCAAGTTCTTCCTCATATCTAACTTGAATCCTACATGCTACATGTTACCTTTTGGTTTCCTCATCTCACTTCAAAGTTTTTTTTTTTTAATGTTTATTATTTCTAGGAGACAGAGAGCATCCTCATCTCACTTCAAAGGGAAACCTATATTATAAGATTTTCTGTTTTAATAATCCATTAGCTTTGTCTTCTTATGGTTTAATAATCCCTCTAGCTTCTCTCAAGGATCCTATTAAATTGTTCCCCTGGATTTTCTTTTTCTCCACAATCTTAATTAGAATGAGCTTCTGGGAGACTCTATGCCTTTTAGGTTTGCAGACCACTGGTCCCAGGCAGTCACCAAGCCTTGCTGATCTGCTCCCTAAACATGTTTGCCATGCTGACTCCCTCCCTATCCTTACCAGGCCCAGGCCCCAACATCCTCATGGGTTCTGCTTTTGGTCTCCCTTCCCTTCAACTTGGCTTTGCCATCCTATGAGCTTTCTCAAACTTGAGTGAGAACCCAGACTGTCCAGAATAGCCCACAAGACCCTTCCCAAGGCCATCCCAGCTGGTCTCAGATTCTGCCAGGCACTCTAGCTTCCAGCCTCACATAATCACTCATCTTTTTCTGAAAACACCCATTTCTTAAACACTTGCACCCTTCCCTCAAGTTCCCCACTGTCTGCCTCTTAGGATAAACAGTAATAGAAGTCATTCCTTTCATATACTGAACTCCTACTATGGCCAGGCACTGTTCTAAGTATCCCATAGCGAGTCCTTCAAACAAAGAAGAACCTATGATGTAGGTAGTCTGAGCCCCATTCTACAGATAAGGAAAATGATGCATAGAGAGGCGAAGAAATTTGCCAAGGCTACACAGTTAGCTAACACGTGGCAGACTGAGGCTTTAGGTAAAGCCTGGCTCGTCTAGCTTTGGTATCCTAGCCGCCCCCCACCCCCACCCCCACCCCCACCCCAGCTGCTTGTCTGCAGGTGGCCTCAGAATGAATGCGGCAAGTAGCTGGTATGGCTGGCGAGCTAGTCTCATAGGTCCCTAAATAGTCTGCAATGGATTCCCTCTCCCTGTGAATGTTCCCCTCCTGAACTTGACTGGGCTACTACTAATTGATTCTTCAGGCTTGCAAGGACATTTTGAATTCTCATCTTTTACGTTCTTATCACTTCTAGTTCTTTGTACTTTTGTTAGTCTGTTCCTCAAAGGCTTCTTTTCCTCTGATTTTGAAGTTTGTAACAAACACTTACTTTGTTCTTTTCCATTTTAATTTAATTAGACACCAGGGAGCTCATTGGAGGGCCTGTACATCTTGGGCTTGGGAACAGTGAATTGACAGGGAGAGGGACAACATGGCCTTCTGAAAGAATCCTGGGATTGTGGCCAGGGAATCTGGGCTCTCGGCCTGGTTCTGCTGTACTGACTCAGGCAAGTGACCTCTTCACTGCCTCAGTCTCCCCGTACATTAAAATGGTTAAATCCCCAAGCTTTTAGGTCAAACCATCTTGGATTACAGTACAATTGTGCTGCTTACTAGCTGTGTGACCTTAGGCAACTTGCTTAACTTCTCTGAATCTCAATGTCCTCATCTATAAAAACTGGATTATCACAGTGTCTAATACAGTCCAATTGTGAGGATTAAATTACACATGTGAAGAGCTTAGCCAGTGGCTGGCACATAGCGGACACTATAAAAAATGGCAACATTATCACCATCATTGTTACGGGATGTTCAAGAACTAAGTAAGATGAAAGAAAAGCTTTAGAGTTCTTAGGAAGAAAGGCTTTAAATAAAAACTCAGTGTAGTCTCAAGCCTAAATATATTTTTCTTGCAACTGTACTGTAGTTCCCTAGTCACTTTGATCTGATGTCTTTATCCAAAGGCTTATACGTTCCTTCATTATCTTTTGCGTTTTTTTAAAAATTACCTTTTGCTTTTCTGTTTCTGCCCCTTCCTTCCTGGCCCAGCCCCTGCTGGTCTGGGATAGGTCGGCTCTTTTGCACAGCTTGCATCTCAGCAAGCTGCTGGAGCTGCAGACCTGGGGAGTGTTCCTCCACTGCCTGCACCCCCATGCCTTGGAGGCTTGCACGTTTAAATCTGTCAACAATTTGGTTAGAATACTTGGTTTCTACCCCAGCACTCAGTTGGGTGCAGGCTTCCTGCCTTCATTCAGAAGACGGAAGATGCCCAATGAGGCTGCTGACCATGCTGGGGAGCCCCCGAGAAAGTCCTCCACAGAGAGCCCCAACCTCCACCAACCTGTCTGCACTCAGGTTTTCTCCCCGTTTCTGCAGGCCATTTTGCCCTTCTACTGAGCTATCTTCCTGTGTCCCTACCAGTTTTCCTTTGGCTTACATTAAGTCAGACTTTCTGGGGTCTGACATTCCAAGCCCCCCACTGGGTGTTTCTCATCTTTGTTTATCTCTTCTCTGCAGTGTCCCACCCCTACTTGGATGTTTGTTAGCTTGTTTATTAGATTTTCTTATCCTGCCTGTTTCTCACCCGTTTTTTTCAGTGTGGGTGTATCAGCCTTGTTGGGTGCTGGCAGTCTCCTGCCTGGCTCTGACCCTAGCCTGGCCCTCTGGCTTCCACCCAGCTCAAGCCCTGTCTTTGTTGCTGCTTTGGTCCAGAGTTCCCTGGGGGCAAGGCTGAGCAGAGGAAAAATGATGCCTGACTCCACGGTAGGCAGGAACAGGCTAAGGGCCGCTGGCTCCTGGCCTCCCATCCTTTAAGGCAATGTGTCAGAAAACAGCACAGAGCCCACCCTCCACTATCCTGTTTTCCCCTACTGGCCCGAGTCCAAACTGTGGGA